TGTTAACCTTGCGTTAGACGCGTTGTTCACGGAACTTTTTAAAGGCCCATAAACGGACGTGTCTGATTGTTGCAGTTTGTAAGTGGTATTCCCTTGGCAAGGTCAGGTACTCCTAGGGAAATATGTGATTGATGATTGATCAGTAGAGGTAATATAGTTTTATCTTTCTTTATGAAATGCTGCATGAGCGACAGCAAGTAATTTCCTGTAATGTTTGAGATTTTCACGGCGGTGGCTATGAAGAATGCCGTCTTCTGGGATGTGACGCCGTGTAGATGTTGTGTAAACCGACGTTTCGGAGGAAGGTATCGCCTCCATATTCAGGGAAGAAAATGCTGCATGAGCAACAGCAAGTAATTTCCTGTAATGTTTGAGATTTTCACGGCGGTGGCTATGAAGAATGCCGTCTTCTGGGATGTGACGCCGTGTAGATGTTGTGTAAACCGACGTTTCGGAGGAAGGTATCGCCTCCATATTCAGGGAAGAAAATTCCGCGAGCGAGGAACCAGCTTGAGCTGCTGGTTTCTTGCTCGCGGATTTTTCTACCCTTAATATGGAGGCGATACGTTCCACCGAATCGTCGGTTCACACAACATCTACACGGCGTCACATCCCAGAAGACGGGATTCTTCGAGTAATTTCCTGCCATCCACTCTGACTTATTTGTTGATCCATCATAGACCTCTGGTTCATTTGCAAAGGAATGATCCGGTAAGTTCTTTCTTGGAAACACAAAGAACGTCGGAACAAAATCCCCGATTGCACTTTCAGCCAAGGCCATGATGATCAGAGAACCTCCCTCTGCTGACGTCACTGCTCCAACCTGCTTCACTACTTTCCTTGCTGAATCTTAGTTTTTTAATTTTTGTGGTTATTACTGTGGTCTCGACCACATTATAAATATTTCACCACTGAAATTTTTACTTGTGTACTTTACCTAAATTAGCGAAGAGCATCTCAACATTTTGTTTACTGAAGCAAGTTGCTCTACTTAGACTTCTGCCTGCGGAGTTCGAATGGATATTGTGTTCTTCCATTTAAGGAATGACGACAGCAAATCATACCAGTCATTTAAAATTGTATTTGTTTTGACAGAATACCGGTTATCCAGCCTTCTCACATCTTTCATACTTAGCCCATAATACAGTTTGGAGACAGCCAGTATATATTCCTCTAGTTTCGATTCTTCCGCATCGGAGAAGAACTTAACATATTTGGTTAACCTTTCTCGTCGCAACGTCCTCACTAGTACACCGGATCCCACACTAGGTGGCTCACATCGAAGTGGTGCCCGACCCATTGCAAGTTATGCGCGTAGAATCTCACGGGAACGCTCCAAAACCGACTACCAACTGATAGAATTCTCTGTGTACTTTATACCTTGTAAAATCCATAAAGAGCAGCTCAGCTACCAGCAGTTATTCAGGACAGATTTCTTAAGTTTAGGCAGCCTGAGAATCTGATTCTTGCACGTGTTACCATCATGTCGCTATCGCCGAAATATTCGTACAAACAATTTCCGAAGCGCTTGCAAGCGGCCTGACACAAAGGACTGACTCACATGAGACCAAGGTGTTTATTGTCTATGAAAGAAGGAAAGAAGAAGGGGTTTTGATTTGTAACTTCCTTATAACTCAAATGTACGATGGAGTTATTCGTTATTGAAGGGGAAAGAGTTTCAATTAGATGCCATCATTTGATTCGGACAGTGAGCTACCACTACTGGGATTTTAATCAGGCACGATGAAGGCTAATTCTCACTTTTAAACGATCTAGAAAATTGTTTTATATAGAACCTACGCCAACTTCCTTTTATGAAGTATTTTTTTTTTCAAAACCTCAGTAGCATCGTAAAATTAAAGGAGTACTAAACAGATGCTTTTCCTAGACTGCAAACTTTAGCCAAAACTATTCTTCTTTTTTTTTCATTTCGGTCCCACTTTGGAGCACAGGGCTGATTTCTCAGTTTCATCGATCATTTTTACAGACGGTAGGACTCCTTGGACGGGTGATCAGCTCGTCGCAAGGCGTCTACCTAAACGCATGACAACACAAACACAGAAGAAACGCATACACACACCAAACATCCATGTCTTGTGTGGGATTCGAACCCACGTTCCAGGTTTCCGAGCAAGCAAAAACAGTACATGCCTCCGTATACACTTTACAGGCGTTTTCCTCTTGTAGGTTCTCATATTTACCGCCTGCACAAAATCGAAATCCAGCAAGACGTCACAGTTTACCTCCTTGTTACGCCATTTTGTTTCACAATGAATTACAAAAACAAAGACACGTTACACAAAGTTTAAAATACGATAAATAGATACCTGAATTTCAGTTTTTCAGGCGCAACGAAACTCACTCGACAAACTTAAATTAACTTGCTGTTATGAAACAAAAGCCAAGGAATTGGAAAGTTACTCAGAGACGAAGAAAAGACAGATCGACCATGGAGTGGGGCCAGCAGACGCCCAGTATGGCTTCCATGTGATAGGTGCTGGAGTCACTTGTACGGACTTTTTTAGCCTACTTTCCTTATTCTGAGAAAAAGAATATAAGCTTGTGCAATCTCCATGCTGTTTCTGTGTCTGTGAATCCTCCCCACTTAACTTTTGAGTGCCTGAACCAATTTTTATTAAACTTCGTATGTATGTCATGGCACCTGAGCACATTACAACGGCGTACTTCTTCAATCCCATCCCATCAGTCGGTGTGTCTGTATGTGTATCCCTCCTATCAGTGCTAGGCAAAAACTAGGTAAATGTATCCGACCCTTAATTGCTAGGCAACGGCTCAGTAAACACGTTCCAACTGCAACGAATACACGTAACAGTAGAAGAAAGCGGCCTCCGTAGTCTAGAGGTAACGTTCCCACCTCATGACTCGTAGTACGCGGGTTCAAATACCCGGCGGAGGTCGTCGAATTTTTAAGGGCGGAAAAATTCAGGGAACAAGTCCTCTGGGAGGGACTTTAAGCCGTGAGTCCCATGTCGTAGCTTTACGGCACGAAAAAGAACCTCATATCTCCAAAGGAGGTCACTGAGCCAAATTACGGACGTTTCTCGCCCAACAGCAATCTCTAATACCTCTGGTAGATGGGGGAAGCATTATAGATACCTCTCAGCTAGTAGAGCCGGTCTCGCTGGCTGGGCGGGACTGATGGTAAGCACCAGTACCGGTAGGATATAGAGACTGGTAGAAATCATAGAGGGAAGCACAATGGACCAATACAGGTCTTAAGTGCACGGGGAAACCCACCCTCTCCAATAACTAACTTACTAACTAACAGTAGAAGAATTGTTGAGCGAGTGTGACTGTTGATGTGTCTTTATATCCCCCTATTGTTGGTAAGTAAAAACTCAATACACACCTTCCCGCGACAACAAAGAATTGTTGAAGGCATTGTTTCCTAGGCGACCCGTGTCGTATCAAAGGAAAGTAGGCTATTAGTTCTACCCAGAACTTCTTGTTTTTTGTTTGAATTTAACAACTGGCCAGATCTGGCCGTCTGAGACTAATGTTAATTTACACGTATCTCTATGTAGGCGCTAGGAATATATGAAAGATCTAACGGTCAAATGTATTTGTCTCCATAAACGACTGTTCCGAAACGTTAAAAGTAATTTTTTTACTCATGTACGATCGTACTTTAATTTTCCATTGATTTCCAAAATATTGTTCTAGAATCTGACACAGTCCCTTGTCCGTAGGCTAACGGAAATAAATGCCAATAACAATCCGATATTTCGTGAGAGTATCTGACGTTAAAAATCTCTGTTGCAATCAAAACGGACACCTTGATAGACGCCTGTAAATTTCACCATTACATATTCAAATTGGCTCAGTGGTTTTGGAGCAAATACTGAATTTTAATTATCAGGGTCTGAGACGTGACGAAGGGGTACGGTTTTGATTGTATAAACATACAGAAAGTTGAAGAGTCCCATCTTCTGGGATATAATGCCGTGCAGTCCAGAAAAACGATGCTTCGGAGGAACATGTCGCCTCCATCTTCAGAGTCGAAGAATAAGCCAAGCGAGGAACCAGCATGAAGCAGCAGTGCTTGTTACCTGCTTCAAGTTGATTTCTTCGACCCTGAATATGGGAGTGACATGTTTCTTCGAAACGTCGGCTGCTTTGAACGGACTACACTGCAATATATTCCATAATATAGGGTTCTTCATACTCACCGCTGTGAAAACCTCAAATCCTACATGCAGAATATTAGTTGTCTTTAATATGAATTTATTTTATTTACAGTGGTATAAATATACGTAAAATATGGAAATAAAGGAATTTCACAACCCATTGCTGTATCCAAGGCTTACGGAATAGTTATGCTTCATCACTTCATTATATAGGCTACATCAATAAAAACTTTGAAGACTGGGAAACAGGGATACAAATGGTATGCAGTTGGCATGTAACATGAAAAATTATATGCTACTAACTACACATCATTGGGCCTACCAGTTCATCAAATGGATTAATTATAATTTATGACACATGAATTATCATATTTGTAAATAAATATGATTATTTGTAGAGTATCGCAAAAACTAAATATACTATAATGTGCTACAACGACAACCAGAGAGTTAAAATTATATTAAAGGTAGAAGGGTAAAGCTATCCCTGTAACAAGCCATGAAGGGCATAGCGTTGTGAGTTTGTTAAAATTACTCTAAATTCTTTAAAGCGAAGAAGTAAGAAGGACACGAACCAAGTTGCTTCTAGATTTTAACTTAACCTTTTTTAACAATACTTTATAAATAGACTAATTATAATAAATTAGAAATATTTTAACAAAGTAATGCACATCGTAGTAATTATTACAGAATAATATTTTATATCTATGACATTGTAATAGTAATTTCTGCAAGTACTGATAATGACAAATGGCATTGTAATAGTAGTTTCCTTATGTACTGACAATATCCTTCTGAAGATGGTCGCTCCGACCGAAACATGTAAAGGATGAAAGATTAAATAACAAAACATTTATCAATCACACTGGACGGCGTTAATAATTTTTATACTATTAATAGTGTGACAGACCAGGATGAACCAAGTCCAATACATAAAATAGTAAAATTATCGCAAAAATATTATAATTTGAGTATTCAGAATAGCTTATCTGAGACCTCAGAAGGGATATGGAAATCAGATGACAATTTTACAGTAAAATAAATGGCATCATTCAGAGAAATTCTGGCAAAGAAATGTTATCAGCAACAAATATAAAAGTACGTGTATATATTACAGTAAAAAAAATTCCAAATATGAAGTGAGATTATGTATTTAGGAAACGGTGCCAAAGTTCTGGAAGTAACACAAATTGGGTTCCTACAACCTTTACAAGACTAGATCACCGGCGGAATGCAGGTATCAAGGAGAAAATAATAATGTATATATCAGAGAAACAGGATTGTCAAAATGTGGGCTACAGCGCATATGCCGCACAGAAGCAAACGCAGTAAGATATGTAACACAGCCAATGGGCACGAGGACTTTACGACAAGTGTAGTGAACACTTCAGTCGCCGCCCTGTTTCCATAACCACAATCTTGAGTTTCGAATTGACTTCCCCCAAATCAGTTTGGGCTGAATGGCAAGGTGAAGTTGTCCCTGTGTTTAAGCACCAAATTGTGAAGGAATAAGAGGGAGTGGCAGTAAAGCTCCAAGCATTCTTTCCGAGCAGGCTTATTCAGGCATTAACGCATCGGTTTTGTATTCAAGAGGTACCAGGTTAGAATCTCAGCCGTGATACCAACTATCCTGACTGAGGTTTTTCGTGAATTTTCCCAATAACTCCAAGCGAATCCTGGGATAGTATCTTGAAAGAGGCCACACCAGATTCTTTTCACTTCCTTTCCAATACATCTTTCTTAATCTTCCTATAAATCGATGCTGAATAGTCTGAGATACTGACAGAGCCTAATGAGCTCAGCCTCTGCACGGAATGCAGATGAATGGCCTACTTTACAGCCTTACCCAGTGGAAATGAGAAACTGGATGCTCGCCACAACCAAACTAGGAACCGAAACCCTTTCTGCAAATCGTACCAAGTCACTTTAGAGCTGTCCCGTCTCATGTCAGTGTTCTGAAATACCTGCACGCTATCATGATTAGAAATTTATAGCCATCCATGGGAACTGTAAATAAGATAGTGAAGTCATAAATAAAAGTTTTGATATGTACACGTGGTGATGACAGTGGATAATTCTGACACCTCTACCAGCGATACGTCGAGCCGATCAACGTCGGAAGTATCTGTCGGCCTCGCTCTCAGACTTGGGCCTTATCGAAGATTTGTTGTAGGTTCTTCTGGAGGTATCAGAGTCGGAGTTCATCACCTTCTCTGCTTCAGGCTTCGGCATGACTTCCACGTAAGGTTCCACCGCAGGTCTAGCTAAAGGTTCCATGTCAGGCTTCACTAAAGCCTCGGCCTCAGAATAGAGGGAGAACTGAGGTGGGATGAACCAGCCTTTCAGAGGGTAACCTGGTTCATTGTGCATTGCAATATCCAAACCTGCAGGGCAGATCAGTCTAATTAACAAAGTGGCACCCGAGGTTTTGTATGGGCGTGAAACTTCGTCTCTGACGTAAGGGAGGAACATACACGTTATATGAGAGCAGGGTGCTGAGGAGAACATTTGGAAAGAGGAGGGGCTAGGAGAAAACTACACAATGAGGAGCTTCATAACTTGCACTCTTCTCCAAGTATAATTAGATTGATCAAGTCAGGGAGGATGAGATGGGCAAAGCATGTAGCTTGCATTGGGAGAAGAGGTATGCATACAGTGTTTTGGTGGGAAAACCAGAAGGAAAGAGCACTAGGAAAACCTACACGTTGGTGGGAAAGAACATTAAAATGGATCTTAAGGAAATAGGATGAGGTGGTCTGGATTAATCTGGCTTAGGATAGGGACCAGTAGCGGGCTCTTGTGAACAGAGTAATTAACCTTTGGATTCCATAAATTGTTGGGAAATTATTGGGTAGCTGGTAGCGTCTCAAGGACCCGGTTGGTTGGCAGTGTCGCTCAGCCGATGCCTCACAGTTTCTGAAGAGCTTAATCATCTATATAATATAAAATCCTTCTGCATTCACCTTTGGGACTGTCTGCCCAGCAAAACCATTGCCTCACCAGTGAATAATGCAGTTGTGGTATGTAATACTGATCCCAGCCCAAGAACTAAACTTCACTACAATAACAGGGTACATATTAGACGCTGTTCACTTGGTTATCCCAGCAGCAATAAAACTTGCTTCTTCCGCTTACCCCACCCACCCACCAACATTCCACCTCATTTTCCTAGCTTCTGTGGTCTCAGCGCAGAATTTTGCAGTGTACGTCCACCGATAGGAAGCTATATGCCGTTTAATGCATAGAGCGATCTTCTTGGTAGTTACAAGCGTTATTACCATGCAGCGCGATGGCGGTAAATAATAAAAAAGATGAGTGATGTCACATCCTTACATATTTAGAAAGTGAATGCAGTGCTGTTTCTCGCAGTGCGCGGGTTCCCATGTGTCAGTTCAGATACCTAAGGACCCTGCTACTGTTCATACTTTTTTATTAAAGAAGTTTTCGAATGTAAATCTGAGCTGACAGTTATGTNTTTTTTTTTCAGTAAAGTTTGTTCTATGATAAACCTGGAGAAGGACATGTGATTTAGCTAGTACTGTGAATGTTTTATAGCATAGCTGTAAAAATTACTACTTTATATCTATGGAGTTTTAATTTATCTTAGTGATAAGATACTTATTCTATTCGGAGGCATTAGTAGGTAAGTCAAGTGCGATTATTATTATTTCCATGTACGTGTATATCCACCCGACAATATGATCAATAATGGCAATAGAAATGATAATTGTGTTAAGGATACAAGCTGGAAACAGGGCTTACTTCGCAAATCTTAGTACAGCAAAGCTACAAGCACACAAAACATTAACAAGACCTGTTGCTACACACGGGGCACAAACATGGACCTTAACAGTGACAGAAGAGAATGCACTGAGAATGTTTGAGAGGAAAATAACACGCAAAATATACGGACCAGTGATGGAAAATAGTATATGGAGGATAAGATACAATGAAGAGATAAACACATTACTGAAAGGAGAAGATATAGTAAGATTTATCAAGTCACAGAGAATAAGATGGTTGGGACATGTATAAAGAATGGAAGATAATGCAATGCCAAAGAGAATGTTAAAAGGAAGGCTATATTCCAAAAGAAGAAGAGGAAGATCCAGGATTAGATGGCTAGACAATGTTGAAAACGACCGAAGATGAAGGTGAAAGGATGGATAGAGAAGATGAAGAATAGAGAGCAGTGGAGACTGGTTGTAGAGGAGGCCAAGGCTCACCCAGGGCTGTAGCGCCGAGTGGCAGGTATCCGCCTGATAATGTAGGAGACTTCACGACATAAATTACTATGCATTCTTGGCACGATGGCCACAAAATGAACCATATAGGGCTGGTTATCCGAATATATCAACTCGAAAACCGCTGGAAGTATTTTGATGGAATCTGGAAACTTGCGCTTTGTAATTTCCTACAGTCAAGAATACCAGCATGCCGGTCAGAGTAGCCGCGCATGATTCGGGAGACGGGCTAGGGTTAATTTCACCACAAACGCATGAGCTGACTCCAATTTTGCGACCCACACACGGACGAGTTTGGTTCAATGGAACCTGAGTCGAGTCGGACTGCCGAGCCAGATTCGTACGTGCATGGGCCCCCTAAGGCATGAACTGTCTTCGCTCGCTCGGAAGCCGGGATTGTGGGTTCGAATCCCACTTAAGGCATGGATGTTTTATGTGTGTATGCGTTTATTCTGTGTTTGTGTTGTCCTGTGTTTAGGTAGTGGCGTTTCGACGGGCTAATGAGTCCTGCCGTCTGTGAAAAATGATTACGGAACTGAAAAAGAGGCTTGGGCCCTGAATGGGCCGGAAGAGCCATTGAACAAAAGCCACAAATTTGTGAGGTGGAAGTGATAACCGCCGCTTAATGTAGAGTTTTACAATTATTTTAGGTAATAGAACTTGGAAGCCGATCACAGTGGCCGCGCGGTCTAATTTCCAAAAATTCAAATAGGTCTTATTCGGTGTTATGATGATCCCTTCTCACCATTGCATTTAGCGTCCTTAAACTGCGGACGGAGAAGACAGCCTCTAATATGGAGGGCAATAACTCAGTAATTTGTTAAGTTCTTAAATAATATAATAAAATAAGTAATAAAACACATACAACGAAATATGTAGAAGCACTTATCGTAAAGATTTTCCGACCAATTTCGCCATCATGTTTGAAGAAGATGAAAGCGTAAATACGTTGCTGGGGAATAGGACACCCGCGGTTCATGGACCACATGCTGTCGGCTGAATATTCCTGCTTTATATAGTATGAATATCGTAAGAAAACACCGCCTTAATAAGTCCATAATAGAATTAATCACTCACCTTTCAATTCCTCTTCCTCGGTAACGCGGAGTTTCCCGCTACGTTTCAGAAGTCCGAACATCAAGCAGGACCACACAGACCCCCACAATATTATTACAGATGCTCCCACAATTCTGTGCCACAGCAGCTGAAAATAAAGAAAGCCCTATGTGAAGGTCATGTCTCTTCGTCTGCCTGTCACCTAGTATCAGCGCATGAACCATTGAACGGTTTTTCTTAAAATTAGACACGGGAGACTTTCATTAGAAGTTACTGGGTGATGTCGATTTTCGGCCATTTTTTTTTCCCCTTGGCACTACAGCCCCAGTGGGCCTAGGCGTTCACTCCGTTCACTTCGGTTTTTCTAGATCTTACATATACGGTAGGACCCCTTGGGCGAGTGATCAGCTCGTTGCAAGGCCTCTACCTGTAGACAAACACAGAAAAAGGCACACAAACATCCATGCCCTGAGTGGGATTCGAACCCACGATCCCGGCTTCCGAGCGAGCGATGACAATGCATGCCTTAGACCGCTCGGCTACCGTGACCGGCCAATTTTCGGCCATACCCATCTGTAATAAAGCCCAATTCGCATGAGGTCATAAGTTAATTTCATTTATCCCTTAGACCGTGTCACAGATTTTGTTGAAATTCCATTAAGGAGACTTTCACTAGGTTGCATTTTCATAAATTTAAGTAAGCATAAAAACTTCCAAGAAAGCCGTTGGTGATTCGACATACCACATTATAGAAAACATCCGTTCCAGTCTTCTTAGTGAAAATGATAAATCGTTGAGTAATGGCAGGCCATGCATGACATCCTTTACTTTATCATCATACATGTGAGTCACTGGAAAACTTCGTCAAGAATGCGACCACCTAGGCCTACTGATGTTTGTGTCAGTCAGAATATGACATTATTGTCTGTATCACCAGCCATATGAAAAAAGTGAGAGGGAACGTTTAGGCAACTCAGTTTACCTCAAAATTGATGTTGGCAGCACTGAAATGTTGGCGGACATAAATTATTATAAGCACTCTCATTTATGTCTAGTTGGTTTGAGTTGACATGTGAGTGATGGCACTGTTGTGGTACGTTTAGCATAGCTGTATCGTTGATAAAATGCACTAAATACAATCTACCAGTTTGGCATGGTCAGAGGGTGCCATCAAGCAGTGAAAATTATGGAGGCATGATAGATCCGTAGGTACATAACTGTATAAGCAAGAGGAAAGTTGAGTGCGGGCGGGTGTTAAGGATGATGCCTCATCGATTGATCATGTGTTAAAGTCAAGAAGCACCGCGGTAGCCGTATCCTGGAAAACGGATAAATTTACTCAATTGCTACTATACACATCTGGCAACAGAACATTGTTGTTGTCAATACCAGTCTGCCTTCGAACTTTGACACTCACTATTGTATTGGTTATCTGAGCTCGCTACATTTCAGAGCAAGTCTTACGTACACGTCATGTCATTCAGTTTGTGACCGTTGTCGAAAAGTGTAATTTGATTGCCTTTTATGTTTTACTTGTCTTCCTAACTCTCAAATTTGAATTGTGAAACCTCTAAACTGCTTACATTTTTGTCTCATTTGCCTGATACTGTATCTTTGGCAATGATGCATTAATCGTATAGTAATGTTTTGTCTGAATTATGAAATTAGTTGGGTGTTACGACTCAAATGCAGAAAATATTCTCCCTTATTTTACAACACGCCATGTCATGTCTTACAACCATGGTAAGCAGAAAGTTTACATTCTGTTACGGTTTCTTGTATCGATGCGGTATTAATGTGTGAATCTGTGACGTGCGCTGGAAATGATACTTTATTGAGTAGCTTCTGCTGGACTCCATTACCAAGCCGGACTCGTAGCTGGCGCCAAACACTATTCCTCCATTGCCAAACAGCGACGCAGACAGAAGACCCCAGAATCCGCCACCGAAGTGAACAGCTACGGCATCTAGCGGATCATCAACTGTGAAGTGGAATGTTAGATGTCACCAGCAGTTATGTCAGATTCATCATTATAGCATGCCTTCAACTACACAAACGAAAGCCACTTGTACGATATCAGGGCATGTTGGATGTGGGAAAAACACATTAAGGAAGCAGCAGATCTCAATAAGGAATCTAAAATAAATAAAAAATGAGAACCAGTAAATGTTTCGCCACGGACGGCTCAAAAATGGAAAACAAACCATTCGTAAGATTTGCGTCGATAGTATAAGTGATGGTATTAACTGGAAATACAGGATAGCTAGGATAGCATCCACATTCACAGCGAAAGCACTAGCAATTGGCGAAACACTAGATATCATCCAAAAAATAGACTCGGAGCAAAATTTCGCGATTTTTCTCAGACTCTGAAAGCGTGCTAAAAGGAATTAGTAACACATCTACAATGAAGACCGCATCGCACGTTGCTCATATGTTGAGGCTGGAATCGCGGGGAGAATAATTCAATATTACTGGATCCCGGGGCACTGCGGAGTTGTTGTTGTTGTTGTTATTGTTATTAGAGGGGGTGGGTTTCCCCATGCACCTCGACCAGTTTGATCTATTGTGCGTCCCCCTATGATCTACCAGTCTCTATACCCTACCGGTACTGGTGCTTACCATCTGTCCCGACTCAGCCAGCGAGGTCGGCCTGTACTGGCTCAGAGGTATGTCGATGCTAATGTGAGAGCTGACTCGGAGGCAAATCAGTCAATCACAGAAGGCAGAGACAGTCAACTGTTGTTACCAATGGCAGATCTTAAGCGTGTAAAATAAACTCGACAAATATCATAACTCGAGGTCTGCTGTTGGGATTCATTGCGCTGACCACGCGACACCCTCTATCCGCTAAAGTTGGCACTAACTTCGCCGACAAGCGGCGGTCGCTTCGTCTGTATAGTTCGCTTGCGGACTAAAACCACGGAGTTTGTTTTAGGTCTGGGTACATACTGACATTACGCTTAATTTATTTATATACTGTGAGCTTAGCCGCAGGTTTTATTTCTAAAATGTTAAAATATTAGAATAATAACCACCAGTGGCGGCTCGTAGCTAAAATTAGTGGGGGTGCTGGTCCAGAAGCGCACAGTTCCATACAAAGATTTGGCTACTGACATTAAGCTTAAGGATTATATATTGTATTGTACAAGTATAAAGAAAGAATTAAAGAAAAAAGGACTCATTATATAAATGTTATCGATAATATCATGTGGAAATGGGGGGCGCTGCAGTTCCGCAGTGCATATACACGAGCCGCCCCTGACAACCATGCAATACAGTAATGGAATCTCTGTTACGACACTGACAATTTGTAAGCGTAATTGCATGGGACGTGATTTTAGAGCATTCTAGTTTAAATAAATGTTACGGTGTACTCCGTCTTTACGCCTGTGTGGGCAAAATGCAAAGTAAATACATGTGTAGGCATAAACATTCATATCATGAAATTTTATTATGGTTTCGAGAAGTATGGATAAGCATTCGGCTTGGTGGATTGTGAGGGTCGATCAAATGAAACCCGCTCGCATGTTCGGCCGTGTTCGGCCCCTCTCAATAAATCACTGAAGGGCCGTAGATGAATGTTAGAGGCGTCAAGGACATGTTGATGCAGTGATTCCAATAGGGCCTATGAAATTCTAGCGGAAGGAAGTCGTTGGGAAGTTTGCCTCAGCGACTATGAGCAGTCTCTATTCATTCGTTCAGAACAGTCTTCATATATTTTAATTTATGTCTCAGTGTTTAGCTGGAGTCAGATATGAAACATTCTGATTCTTTTTCCCTTCAGAATTCGCCGATTTCCGCACTAATATTTTAGTGCGTATTGCTTAAGTGGTCCGTTGATACGAGTAATTACATCCTATAGTTGTGGGAAGCATGTCTATAGATGGCCTGAAAGTGGTACTCACGTTTAATCCACAGCACGGCGTAGTGAATCCCCAGGTAAAGCGGCGCCATCAGGGCTCCGGACACGAAACTTGCCCACATGGCCATGACGTCAGCTCCAGCACACACGGACACCTGGCAGATGGAGACTGTGGTTAGTGACGTCATGGTGAGATAGCAAGAATTATATTCTGTTTCATCACTCAACGAACTCCATGGAGTAGAGTCCTGCTTCAGAAGGCGCAATTGCTTGATTTGTCAAAGAATTACCAGCAGGTTTACCACCGTGTTCACAAAAGCCCGTTACTGGATTCCATTCCCAACCAATTTAATCCATTTATCACCCTTACACCCTTGACCGGGAGCCGGGATAGTTCAGTCTGTATAGCAACTGGCTACGGAGTGGACGGCAGAAGGGTCACGGTTCGAGTCCCGGTAGGGGTAGGAATTTTCTCTTGTCCACAGCGTCCAGACCGGAGCTGGGGTTCACCCAGCCTGCTATCCAATGGGCACCAGGGAATCTTTCTCCGAGGGTAAAGCGGCCGGAGCGTGAAGCTCACCACTCATCTCCAACTAGTGTCGAGGTCAAGAATACGTTGATCTATACATCCATCCCTCATTTTTTTTTCCTGTGGCGCTACAGCTCCAATTTGGGCCTAGGCCTACCTCCATGAAACTCTCCGTTTTACTTCGGTTTACTAGATCTTACACATACGGTAGGACTCCTTGGGCGAGTGATCAGCTCGTCGCTAGGCCTCTATCTGTAGACAAACACAGAAAAACGCACACAAACATCCATGCCCTGAGTGGGATTCGAACCCACGATCGCGGTTTCCGAGCGAGCGAAGACAGTGCATGCCTTAGACCGCTCGGCTACCGTGACCGGCATCCATCCCGCATACGACTACGTAATCATGGCGTAGTGCTTAATTTGTTAAGCATAGGGATAACTTTACCTTCAGAAAGCGCTCATGTCGCATTTCAATAATGTCTGCGAAACCGTGTATGGGATATCTGGAAAAGTCAGTCTATAGCCTCACGTAAACCGGGCTTTTTTGCGCACCAATAAGACAGAGAATCCAGATGGCTTGGCAAGTTTTACTGGAAGAATCCATATGGGACTTTATGAAAACCTATTCAACAGTTTAAGCACTGAAACTGGGTGGCAGACAAGCATACGTTTACTTCTCACGTACCCAGAAGGTTCATTCCCTTGTCCATAGGCACTTCTCCATATAAAGCTTCATCTTATACTTTGTAAAGTAAGGCCTAATAATTAAGGCTAGACCTACTGGACAATCGGCAGTGTTAGACCTAACCTCATCTCAATATTTCAGACTCTTTCACAAATAAAATCACTATCTGATGTTCCTGTTAGTCTGTGAGGGTCAGAAGTACAGGACACAGCTTCATGTATCTTGTAACATTTATCTGTGCAAGTTTGCCGAATACGCACCATGCCAGCTAGAGCTGCATTCAGTGTGAGACTGAAGGACCAGGCCGATTTCCCGCCAAATCCAAGTTTGCACATCCCCAGCATTACGATGCTCCCACCACTGCCTCCCAGAATCGTGTTGATAATGACTCGAGCGATGACAAACTGGTCCCCAGGTTTTGACATCGAACCAATGGACCCGCCATTGAAAGCCAGAAATCCTGCTATAAGGATCATTCCGCCAATACCTGTGAGCTGTAGAAAGACGTCTTTACAGGTAAAATTATCCTCTTCAGGTAACTTCGGTAGTCTGAACATAAGTTGTCATTCACGAAAACTTGACATTTGCAATATCAGTGGTCTCTTATTTGATCTGATTTTTCTCATATCCGTGACTGCGAAGATTACCATCTTCCGAATGTGATACCGTGTGGTTCATTAAGTAACGGGCTACACAACGTCACATACCAGAAAATAATACTATGGCATGTAGACCCGTTGCAAGGCAACTACCGAGAAATAAGCAACTATACAACGACCGTTACTAAGCAGAGGTCCATAAACAGCAATAGAGAAAAGGTGTTTTCTATTCGGTCCTTGCCGAGATGTTATAAGCGGAACAAGTCAGTGAGTGAGGAGTTAATGAGTGAGATTGACGACTGCTGCAGTTCAGTCGTTGTGAGCTGTTGCTGTTAGAAGCAGGTAGCTGAGGTCGCGAACCGTTCGGGAACCCACAGGAAGAGGAACGTCCGCCGTTTAAACACGCTACCAAGTAACGGCAGTGAAAACGTGACTGTGGACACTAGTGTGTGTGTATAACAGTTAAATGTGAAACGTAGTCACACGTTATATCAAAAACTCTAATAAATCCTATCATCAGTCAAAAACCTATCTATAGTCACACTCATACACGTGAGAGTAATCTTCGAGTATCTTTCAACAGTTTATTCTTGGTAGGATGGTGTGTATTGACAAGATAATGCAAGTGTGCTTACCGGGACTGAGTGCCCCACTAGTTCTTCCTTCTCTGAGCTATTAAATTTATTCTCGAATCTTCCGAGTCGGGGTCCCAGGAAGAGAGCCCCGAAGAATGAGCAGACTCCTCCAATGAGATGGATCGGCCCGCAACCAGAGAAGTCCACGTAGCCCAGTTTATACAGCCAGCCTTCTTCTGTCCAGACCCAGTGAGTTACAGGAGGATACACAAAGCCTGAAATTACACAGACTCTCTACTTTCTAGAGCAATAATAACTTAATAAGAACCAAATTTATAGAATTTCTTTAGATCCCTTTTGGAAAAAATGTCTGTTCGTGTTTCAGCCTTGATGTAAATTGCCTGCAGTTTTCAGGCTCCTTTCCTTCCTGACTTTTTTTTTTTATTATCACGTGTCGTAGATGCATGCACTATCGCAAGTACATTACTTCGTTGTCACCGTCGCTGTCGGATCGAAGTTCAGCGCAGGCGTCGATTGAGGCGTCAGCCAGTAAATAAGTTAAACAGCAAACAATAAAGATGATGCGGCCGTGGGTTTAGGCGTCAACCCAATCCCCCCCCCCCTTTTCTTTTGCTTCTCTGTGGTTTTGGCATTCTCCATTTTATTCTAAAAAATATTCGATATTTCTTGATTCCGAATCGTCAGCGTTAGTAACGACATTGTTGGCCTCATGTACGTTTCTAAGATTCCTGCAGCCCATTTGCATCTACATAATCCACCTTGCTCTTTAAGCTGATCTGTTGTAAGTTGCGCCGCTGGATATTCGGCTGGTTATCATAGGTTCTGATAACGGTTAGATCATCTCAAGTTAAGTTTGCTGCCTTAATTTATGATGGTTAAAGTAGAATTTAGGAGCCGGGATAGCGCAGTGGGTGTAGCGACTGGCTACGGGCTGGACCACCAAGGAGTCGGAGTTCGAATCCCGGTAGGGTCAAGAATTTTGTCTTCTGCACGTCCATTGCCAATGATTCATAATGGTATTGTGACATGATGCCTGAAAGCCGGTATAATGAGGCCAGAGCGGAAGTCCGTTGCTAGCCAACGGTTCGCCAAAACACCTTCCCGCAACAACGAACAGACGCGGGAGTCAATTGCTAGTGATCGGTTCGCCAAAAACACCTTCCCGCAGTAACGAACAGACGCGGAAGTCCATTGCTAGCTAGTGGTTCGGTAAGCATGTTTCCGTGACAACAGACAGACATTTTCCTACATAAGGATCCGTTTAGAGAAGAACGGCCCAGTCGGAAAGGAGCCGACATCTGAGAATTCAGTTCAGTTCAAGAGAGCTCAATGATTCAGCTTCAGTTCATTGGTGAGAAGTCGAGTGTTCAGCTGTGGAGTGTTAACGAGCGGACAACGGAAGCTGAAGAAGTGACCGATTCGTAAATCAGAACCAAGTCAGTCACAGCGGAAGAGAAGACGCAGTCCAGTAAGGAATGGAGTGAATCTTAGACAGTCATTAACTGTGAGCTGTTATGATTGGTTGTAATTGTAACAGAAGCGCCAGTAAATCTAATCATTCAATCCAGAACCCATTATTTTTCGTCACGCAAACCCCTCGTACGTTGACAGGACGATACACTGGTTAATCTGCAACCCAGTTGTTACTTAGAATAACTTAAATGACATGATGCATTCATAAGTGTACCTGATATGACGAAACTGTACGTAATGTAGGCAATATAGTTGCACCTTTCGGCCACGGCTCCAGACACGATCGTGGCAGCAGTAGCGGCGAATATACATTGGAAGAACCAATTAGCCATCTTGCCATAATCAATCCCAATTCCAGCCCAGTGAGTATAACCAATCACCGAGTTACCTTCTCCATAAGCCAGCGCGAAGCCAAACAGCCAGTAGGCCACTGAGCTGATGACTGAAACAGAAGAAAACTGTGTATAGCTCAGATCGGAGTTCGGCAGTCACGTGTAACAAACGTACACATTTTAGCTGGCTCTTATATCCAAGCTGTCGAATTTCAGAACTGCAATACTGTATAATCCCGGTCTACAAAACCGAGATTAACGGCCATGGGGATCCGTTGCGCTGATCATGTGACACCCTCTATCCGCAAAAGTTGGCACTAACTTCACCGACAAACGGTGGTCGCTCGGTCGGTATGGTTCGCTTGCGGATTACAGGCTACGAAATTTAATACTCTATAATTTATTATATTCTAAAGCAGCCGTGTCCTGCGCGGGGCCCTCGATATATTTTTCTGGCGCCCTCCGTAACCACATAATTGAGCCGGTTTTTAATATTAATTCAAACTGTAAGACAAGAGACATTTTTGAACGTCTGAGTACTGTTAAATATTTTCGAAAAATTTTATTATTATTATTATTATTATTATTATTATTATTGGTAGTAGTAGTAGTAGTAGTAGTAGTAGTAGTAGTGTGGTGGCGCCCGCACCTCCTTAGGCATCAGTGAATTGTGCCCGAGTACATAAGAAAGTTGGACAGCGCTGTTCTAAAGGGTTCTGACGATGGTGGATGGCACACAGAATTACTGGGTTTTTGGACTTCTTCCATCATCCGGAATTCTAGGTAATAAGAGGATACGACGTTTCGGAAACTGGATCCTTTTCCGTCTTCAGGTGAGAAAGAAAGACACCTGCTCAGTTGGGCCCCTTAGAAAGAGCTAATCTGAATCACTGGACTAAAGTAGGTGTCTTCCTTTCTCACCTGAAGATGGAAACAGATCCAGTTTCCGAAACGTCGTGTCCTCTATTACCTAGAATTCCGGACGATGGAAAAACTAAAAAAAAAAAAATCAGTGTATAATCTATATAGCAGAAATGACATAACTGTGGCTCGCGAGTTCTGCGTGGCTCTTTTAAACTGTTAACACTCCTTCTGAAATATTATGCCAGTCCCTGTTTTTATATGTGAATTAAATATAACAAGATGTTCTGGGAAGAACTAATTGCCTATTTTCCTTGATTCGACAGATGACACATTGAAAAAGATGCGTCCAACAATTTTGTTTATTCGTTGACGCGGTAACGTTTATACTGTGTTGTTGCCTAGCAACAAGGAACTAACTCTATCGATTGGGCCCAACTGAGTAGCTTTTACCTGAAGACGGAGTCTCCAGTCTCCGAAACGTTGTGTTTTGAAAAATAAACAGGACGGCTTTTAGATAAAGACAAAATAATGGACAATGTCCAAAAACATAATTATTTGTACTAATGTGCCATCGTCACAAACTTTTAGATCTTACTGTACTGGTGTCGTTTGATGAAGAAAGAATAGAACATTTCTTAGTTATAACTATTCCCCCCGCCCCCTTGCATTTACCCCCTAAAATCGAGACTGATACTGGTATACTGCGCGGATAAGGAACAGAGCTGCACTGTTTTACACGTAGGTCATTAAATATATACGATGTACATTATCACAGTGGTTCTTTAACTTTTTATTCTACAGACCCCTGTTTCGCCGACCACTTAGCTGTGGGGGGTGGAAAGAATTTATTTTGGAAGAACAAAACTTCTGAAAGAAGAGCCTCTTCGCACACAATTAAGCATTTTTCTTCAAAATTTGGAATTATAATGCAAAGTTACAATTTTGATTTTATTTAAGAAAAAAAAGCAGATTTCTTTATTTTTCAAATTTAATAAATTACCAAACTTATATTTGCTGTCATAAAGCAAAGGCAAAGTTGTTCCTGTGCTTATCTAATTAAGCATTACGTCATGAAGGCGTATGGGGGAGTGGATGTATAGATCTACATTCTGTTTGGCACTAGTTGGAGGTAAGTGGTCAGCTTCATGCCCCAGCTGCCCTCCTTGGAAAGATCCCCCACTATCCATTGGATAGGAGGGTGGGTGGGCCCAGGACGTGCCTGGACGACTTGGAGGAGAGAAAATTCTTGACCCTACCACGACTCGAACTCCGACCCCTTGGTCGTCCAGCCCGTAGCCAGTCGCTATATCGTCTACGCTATCCCGGCTCCTTATTTGCTGTCATATTTTATTTTAATAAATAAATACAAAATCATTCATAGTAATAGGTAATAACATACGAGTAGCAAGGAACTTTTCTAACGTGCTAAACTCTTCTCGGGAGATCAGTCATGTCAACGTTGGATTTTATTTCGACATTGACACTTCTGAGTGCCCAACAAGATTTTAGCGCCTTGAGAGCTAAAAATCTTAGATAACTTTTTTATTATCGGCAGACTGCAAATCAGCTTTGAGTAACAAATAATAACAAATACAAACAAAACTTGCAAATATTATTCAGGGATATTTAAGAAAGCAGTCTTCTGGGATTTGGCACCGTGTATATGTGGTGTTAACCGACGTTTCGGAGGAACGTATCGCCTCCATCTTCAGGGTAGAAGAAAAAGTATAAGAAATCAGCAGTCTGCTTTTACCGTTCTCACGGTCTTGTCGCTTGCAGATTTCTTATACTTTTTCTTCTACCCTGAAGATGGAGGCGATACGTTCCTCCGAAACGTCGGTTAACACCACATATACACGGTGCCAAATCCCAGAAGACTGCTTTCTTCATAGTCACCGCCGTGAAAGCCTCAAATCTTACAGGGATATTTAATGTTTATTTAGTTAATGCGACAAATGATGCTTATTTTGAGATAACGTTAATATTGGAACGTCTAGTCCCAGCTTGGATAGTTGTAGCTTCAAATCTGATTTCACATCTAGCCTACTTCTCTTCTTTTAATTTTAAAGACTCAGAATCCAAATTCGCTGCAACGAGCTGTCGCAAAATTATTATTATTCCAAAATATTCAGACCGTATGTGCAGCCAAACGTTTCTTGCTGAATATTAATTTGGCGACCCATCCGATCCGAGTCCCCCAAAACTGTCGATATATTTTGATGGAAAGCTTACTGCGTTCTCTTCAATTTGTGCGATATTTACAAAGGGATTTCTGAGCCACACAATGAGTCGAAAATACTTTTCCAGTTGCTGAGAAAGATCTCGTAAATATATTTTTTCTCAGTTCTTCAGTAATTTCCTCTTGTATTCCTTCCTTGACCGTGCTTACGAAATTGGGAACTACTGTGAAAGAAAAGTAGTCTTTACGGTTGAGACGAGGGCCCCAATTCTCTAATTTCGATCGTAAAGCCTGGACTTTTTCATTAACATTATAGCATATCAGCTGAAAGCGGGAATAATTCAACCAGAAGAGACGTCCGTTACTAGGTTATGGCACAGTAAACAGTGACATAACAAGGGAATACGTCACGCCGAGCAACGTGACCAACGGGAGTACGGCTGGGAACGGCATTTTCTATGGAGTCCGCGCTGATAGTGATGTCATGAAACAAGAGAGAAACTGTTGGAAGCTGTGTTTTCTGTTAGGTCCGTTCCGAGGCCATATCACAAGGACTGTCGGTACACGAGCTAAATTGGAAAAATCTCTAGTTGTGGATCTCAAGGGGCCTAGCGCCAAGACGAACTGATTGGCGGGAAACCTCCAGTAGTAAAGTAACTTTGACTTTAAAGCGAATCAGTGATGACTCCCGTAGGACTCGCAAACAAGAATCAGCATGCTAGCAAGGACCAGCGGAAATTTACTGGAGTGGGCTGGTTAGCCATTCACTGGCAGATCACTCCCCAATAGTGGGGAGGTGATCTGTAGCAGACAGACCCCTCCTGTCGTCGAAGAAGACGCCCCATTTCGAAATACTTAAGAGTCTGCGAAGAAAAAAAATATTCATGGGTCCCGACGGGGCCCAAGACCAAGAACGGCTGTGATAGTGATGGCCAGAAGCAATTTGCTGGAGGGGGGGAGCCAGTCAGTCTTCCAAGGTGCACACCCCTCCGCGATTTGCACACGGCTTTCAACCTTCCCTCTGTATAGTATTATATAACAATATTGGTCAGGCAACAAGCAAAAGTCATACAAAATCATGAGAATAAACATTCGCGGTATAGAACTAGGCGAACCCAGACATAGAAAATATATGAGGCTTAAACTTGGCGGTGGTCAAGCTTACGACCGTTCAAGTGACTAAGGTGCCGTTGTAGCATAAGATACGTAAGATAAGCGTGGTATGCTCTGCAAAGCCTACACTGATAGAGGACTTATATATAGTGCAGAAAGCAACATTTTCAATAACATGCTATAAGTGCAATACGTAGGCTACGCTTGACGAAAGGCCAAGCATATTCATAAGAGAGAAACCCATCTTGTCGTCAGAGATGTTACATAAAGACTATGACCGCAAGGGTTCAGTTGAAATAAAAACTCTAGTCGTGGACCTCAATGGGCTTCGCGCAAAGGTGAACTGATTGGCGGTAAATCCGCCAGCCGTAATGTAACTTTGACTTTGACTTTGATGCCAGGCAGTCTTGAGGCGGCGGTTAGGGAGTACGGTTAGTGAGCCGTAAGGGCATGCGCAATAGCTCTTGTTAAAGCTTGTGACCAGGCGACACCTAGTTGGGAGGTGAGATAGCCACCAGCCAGCTAGGACAGAAGGCGCTGAACCCGGAAGTTGTCAGGTAATGGGGCTGGAAGCCGTTTCCTGACAACTGGTGAAGACACAGAAAGTTGAGAACAGACTAGTGCATGCTGTATTGAATTGTACAGTGTGTGAATTAGCGATAGCACTATAGTTACCTATATTTACAATCAGTAAGTGTTCAACAAATCCAATTATCAATCCGAACTCCGTCTATGATCACTCAGTCACGTGACAATATGAAATATATTCATATAGTTCTTCCTTGCAAAGGCCGTTAATCTCAGTTTTCTAGACCGGAACCGCTGTTTCCTTGAAATAACTCCTCAGTTATCCTCACGAGGCTGAATGGACCCCGTTCCAGACCCATTACTTCTCAGAAAATCTAGTAGCGCCGGGAATCGAACCCGGGACCTGAGGATCTGTAGACAGGAACTCTGACCACTAAACCACAGAGGCGGTCCAGGAGAGTTTCTGAAGCCATGAGAAATCATATAAGCGATTAGAGAAGTGAGAGATTGTAGATTCTGCGTAAAAATAAAAAAGACGAGTAGGAAATTTTCCCTGCAACAAGTAACGAATTTATGCATGAAACATAAGATCCTTATGATTACAGTATATTTCTTCGTCCGACGAAACATTCCTGTTACATAACCACGTAAAACAGAATAAGAGCAGGCAAAATAATACTTAACTTCATGATACAGAGTCCTTTTTCAAAAGCTGATAGTCGTTCAACTGGTAAATAACCTCCTTGCATTTTCTAACTAGCTGGCTTTGACCATAACGCTCTAATTCATATTCGGGAGGTGCAGGATTCGAATCTTGACCTAGACACCGTCTTTCCCTGCTGCCATTTTTCATACTGTTCCTCCATCCCTCCAGAGGAATGCCTGGATAGTACATAGTAACAGCACACGACCGCATCCTTCCACATTTTTCACATTCATCAATCATGTGTCATTAGACGCTCTATAATTCGAGCTACTGACTGCGCTGTTAAGGAGACCCTATTTGCATCTTATCCACCCCGGAGGCTTATTAACTTGTTCACATATCTTAGCCAGATAAATCGAGTCCACACCGTCTTTCTTAAGATCAGTTTCAATATTATCCTTTCATCTTCGACTAGGCACGGTCTCCTCCTTTCCTATTTTCAGACTCCTAGTGGTCTAGTGGTCAGCATTCCTGGCTACAGATCCAGAGGTCCGGGTTCGATTCCCGGAGCTAACAGGTTTTTTCTGAGAAGTAGTGGGTCTGGAACAGGGTGCACTCAGCCTCGTGACGATAACTGAGGAGCTATTTCAAGGAAATAGCGGCTCCAGTCTAGAAAACCGAAATTAACGGCCGTGGGGATTCGTTGCGCTAACCAGGCGACACCCTCTATCCGCAAAAGTTGGCACTAAACTTCGCCGAGAAGCGGCGGTCGCTCGGTCGGTATAGTTAGCTTGCGGACTAAAATTACGGAGTTTTTTTTTATTACCAGTTTACTGTAGGCCTGTATCTGCAAGGAAAGGACTGCGACACATCAGGTTCTGAAGCCCTGCAATTTGCTTAGTACTCACAGATGTCCATGAGGTTCTTCATCATAATGTTGGTAGTGTTCTTGGACCGCACTGCCCCAGCCTCCAGGCACGCAAACCCGCACTGCATAACTGCACAAACACGAGAATATCTGTGAAGTACCCGGGTTACTATAGTACCACCTACTGTAACATGGAAGAATCTCTGGAATTTGCTTACAGAATGTATTATATATTTCTTGTGATTCTCAAACAACTATTTCCCAGAACGACATTGAACTGTTAGGCTTTGTAATGGAAAGTCATTAATATAAGTAGTATGGTAAAAGCAGTAGTATTGGAGGCAGAAGCAATTTATATTAGCACAGTGATAGTAAACATGAAGTGTTAATATTAGTACGTAATGTCCATTGGACACGATCAGGAGCCAGTTTCATCCGCCTCCTTTTCTCTGAACCTGGCTCTCCGAGATCCAACTCCATGTTATCTTCCCATCTCCTTCTCAGTCACCAAAATTAACCTTTTGGATGAGGTTTAGAGACAGAATTCTGTGAGATTTTCATAACTACCCATCGCAGTCGCTCACCCAGCCCATCTGATTTCCGCTACATCACTACGGTACAAACTTTCGGTTACCTGTACATGCCACGAAGTTACTCTTTATGTACGAGCCTAAATTGCTCGTCTGCTTCGTCTATAGACTTGCTGAACGCTTTCTTTCAATTTTCCCTAATTCAATTTCTTGCCTAAAAATAAATTTTACACTAGTTCAGAATAACTGGCAAAATTTGTGATATTAAAAATTCATTATATTTTAGAGCATGGCTGTAGGAGTTAGCCTTACACAGCATGACTTGATTGGATACTGACAGTTAAGACGTATTTCTCGGTTCAAAATATAGAAGGCCTGAATGTCAGTTAACCTAAGACATTCTCTCTTATTAACGGTAATGTTCAGATTCAAACCTGCCAATCAATTTATAGAACGGTATCACAGTGTTGTGCGTTGAGCACTGAGCATTTCATTTCGAGCAATTTTTGTAGATTCAGTAAGTAATAAAGAAATTTGTAACGTTTTTTAGTGTACATTTTACTAACCTAGTTAGTTATTTATTTAGAGAAGGTGGGTTTTCCCATGCACCGCGACCAGGTTGATCTATTGTGCTTTCCTCTATGATATTCTACCAGTCTCTATACCCTACCGATAAATGGTGCGTACCATCGGTCCCGCCGAGCAAGCGAGTTCGGCCACTTGCTTAGCGGTGTCTATAATGCTTCCCCCATCTATCAGAGGCCTTAGAGACTATTGTTAGGCGGGAAACGTCCTGGAATTTGGCTCAGTGATCCCCTTTGGGGATATGAGGTTCTTTTACGTGCCGTAAAGTTACGACACGGGACACACAGCTTAAAGTCCCTCCCGGAGGACTTGTTCCCTGAATTTTTCCGCCCTTAAAAATTCGACGACCTCCGCCGGGTATTTGAACCCGCGTACTACGCGTCATGAGGTGGGAACGTTACCTCTAGACTACGGAGGCCGCTTTTTTACTAACCTAACTGATTTATGTGTGTAGGAGTCAGATGAATCAAGCGTTGTCGGTCTAAATTTCCAGATTGACTGATTTACTCTTGATTTAAGTAATAACGCGTTGGGGGCGCGCCATAGCTCAAGCGGTTAGTCGCTGGCTCCCTACCGCGGCGGCCCGGGTTCGATCCCGGGTCTGGTCGAGTGGGATTTGTGGTGGACAGATTGGCGCTGGGGCGGGTTTTCTCCGAGTACTTCGGTTTCTCCTGCCAATCTTCATTCCACAAAATTCTCCATCATCATAATCACCCGGAACAGGTACAATAGGCCAATCAGTGGCCGCAATGTCGAGTGGACCCAACTTGACTCCATTCCACACTAAGCGAAATACGAGTACATGGTGAGATGCCATCACACAACATCAAAACAACCAAGAATTACGTAACTTCAAATACAAGCAACCCGCTGGAGCAATATACAGCTTGTGCATCGAGGTCTTCTTTTTAAACGATGCCGTATTGGTCTGATCTGCCTATTGCTGTATGGGGTATAATTTCTTTACGCTGTATATTGCTCCAGCTCCACGTATCATATATGATAAACATTTGATTTTTTAGCGTGATGATATTGGTGATAATAAAAGACATTCATATTTCTGTGGACACCAAATGTCACAGTCGAGTGTGTAGCACTCCTGATTAATATTCGGGGACCACCCCTTGACGGCTGTCCACGATTGCTTATTAGCAGCTATCCTCCATCCGCAACCTGAGGACGCGCCATGCTGTGGTGAAAAGGGACACACCTAAGGGACCAATGGAGGGCTCTTGTGAACACGGTAATGAACCTTCGGGTTCCATAAAATTCTGGGAAGTTCTTGAGTAGCTGCACAATTGGCAGGTTCTCAAGAAGGACTCAGCTCCATGAGCGAGTGAGTTAGTGCCTTTACTCACAGCAGACGATGATCCCATTGGATATGACGAAGATGTCGTCAATGCTGCTCTTCAGATGCTCCATTTCCGTGCTGTTGCCCGCAGTTTCAGACAGGGGAGTACCATCGATGACGCTTTCCACGTACACCATTCGCGTATTATTTGTTGCCATTTTCACATTAGTGCTTCACATGTCAAGATCAAATCAATCTGAAGAAAGTAAATGGTATTAATGGACCGAAATTTTGATTCAATTTAAGTACTTAAGGATTCATTTTATGTTTGCACAACTGAATATCATGTTTTCAGAAGGTCTGTGGATACATTCGCAATCTCATGGCCTGTTTGAGGGTTGTCGGCTACCCTTCTTACAGACTTTTAGGGCTCTTCGCTACCTGAATAATCCCAATAGGCCTAGAAACAAAACCCAATGGGGAGAAATTTATGAGCCTCCTTTTGTAGTCCTCACCAAATAGTACCAGGGTGATGATCTGTAGCTCGTATGGGCGTAACGAGAAATATATACAGAGTTTAATTCGAAGTCGCATTGGAGACCTAGGCTTAGATATGATGATAATATTAAAACGAATATTAAATAAAATGCCTTGAGGATGTGGATTATATCTGATTGTTCGTTCTTGCGAACACTCTAATGATTCTTTGGGCTCCATGAAAGGTGGGAAATTTCTTGAATAGTTAATTTTGACTTCTCAAGTCAGTTAGTTACGGACATGAACATGAAAGATGTGTAAAAATTCCGAATTTATTTGATAAGGTATGTGTAAGTATTTCTGATACTTTGAAAATACTGTCTTTATCACTCGCGAATGCCACTTTCAGGCATATAGTTTCTTTAATCTGTGAAGTAGCGTGTTCAACTCTTCTGCAACAATACTGACTTACCTTAAGCCGACGTAAGCATTGTTGCGGCAAGACGACTTCCCCTGAAGTGTGTCGAAACACTGAAATACAGGTATTTCTGGCTGGTGTATATATATACATATATCCCTCTCAGATAGAAGTTTTTTTACCCTATAATGCATGTTTACCTCTGAGCCGGACGAAGTGGAGTCAAATTTATTATGATGGCTTGCTAATGGCACAGCCTTCCGAGCTAATTGCGAGGTGGGAAATACACACAACAGCTCGTGCTAATATGCCATATTCTGCAGACTGGTGCCTGGTCCTCTGTATGTATGCTGTGTTTTTTGTATATATTATCAGCGGGATTTAGAAATCTTCGTGAAGCTAATATCGGAAATGAGTAGATGACACTCCTGCATCGTGTGAGGGAGGGTCTGGATCGTCTTGATTCAGATTTTAGCATGGAAAACGGTATCATGGATGATGTTTATTATGACCTTCCTCAGTCGCTCCAGCAGATGACGGCATGGTCTCTCATTACCAAACTCCCGTATTCTTGATAATAACACAGCACAACACATTTTCTCTCTTTTTCGATTATGTGAGAAATAAATTGTTTTTAAGTTCGGTACACGCTTATCACAAAGATTAGAGTTATTAATTTGTAACAACACTTTTGTTGTTGTTCTCTACTATTGTTAGTACAAGATATATGCATGTTTATTACGCAGTTTGATATAATTACATTATTTGAATGAGTGATCATTTTCGGTAACTGAATATCTTATTCTTAGAGTGCGCTGAACAATAATTCTAACAACACTAAGATAGGAAGAAATACAAAGTGATAAAGCTCTCACGTCTGGCTCAAAATTTAATACAGATAAGTCTGTAAGAGGATGCAGTGTGCATTTAACAGGTGTGCCCGTCGATTAAATTAAAACTGAAATAATTAAACTGTCATAAACCCTCCCTTATAATAGTTACCAGTTAAATTCACATGCGACTATCTATTGTTAGGTTATGACACTCAGCTTGGCGAGAAGTCAGAACTATGTAGGCCTACTGAATGAACAAAGAAGCAAAGCCAATTTCGCTGTTATTAAACACTCTAAATCAAAATTGAATATACGCGATATAAACTGCTTCTTAACAAAGAAGCAAAGCCAATTTCGCTGTTATTAAACACTCTAGATCAAAATTGAATATACGCGATATAAACTGCTTCTTTGGCTTCGAAGTCGTATTGTGATACAGGAATGAATTAGAAGAATAACATAATAAAACATTCTTTATTGAGCTTAGATCAGAATTATTTTCTTTTAGTTCATTGCTGTATTACAATACGACTTCGAAGCATTTTGATATGTTCTGATAGTTGAGGAGAATGACATGGTCAGAGCATGTAGTACGCATGAGAGAGAAGGAGACTGCATGTAGGGGTTTCCTTGCCATTGAGAAGGAAACAGATCACTACGAAAAACTAAATTAGGGGGATGTTAGTTAGATGTATTCTGCAGGGCATATTGATTGTTGAACGCTGAAGCTAACTAATGTATTCAAGACACTCGCTTTCGAATACTTATGGGAAAGTACAAGGGATATAAAATGTGTGATTCATTTTTCTCTATAGCTTTTGTTCGGAAAATGATTCTCTACGACGAATGGTAAGCGAGAAAACTCGTAGAAATGCATATAGATCTTCTTTCAAGGTTGTCGTTAAAATTTCATGATCTAAATTAAAATCGAAATGGCTTAACCTTTCGTATAATTCTCAAATACAAAATTCTATGGAAATCCGCTCGGTGGCATTCACGTTTCGTATGTACAGACAGAAAAAGTGACGGACGGACGAACAGACTGAACGAAATTAACAGGCACTCCGTATGGTTACGAAAAAAACTAAGTTTTTGATGTAGTAGGAAGTATTTGTGTGCAGTGTCTGGAATCAGCATTACCTACTTACTTACTCATGGAGCTAAGCCCTTCTTGAGGAGCCACCAATTTTGCAGCTACTCAATAATTTCCCAGCATTTTATGGAACCCTAAGGTTCATTACTGTGTTCACAAGAGCCCTCCACTGGTCCCTATCCTGAGCCAGATCAATCCAATCCATACCATACCATGTATCTCTCTCAAATCCATTTTAATATTGTCCACCCACCTATGCCTTGGTCTTTTTACTTCTGGCTTTCCCACCAATATCCTATATGCATTTCTCTTCTACCACATTCGTTCTACATGCCCTGCCCACCTCATCCGTATATCAAAATTAATTTTAAAAAGCCGTTTTCCTTTATTTTACCATTCCTTTTTTGGCTGAAGTTCTCCCTGTAATAGGCCGTGAAGGCCCATAGTGTTGTGAGACGTCGAGGCTCCCACATCTCTAGACAATCGGCTCACAGATGGCCGTGAGGTTGTCAGCCTTACGCATCGGGCGCCCTTTACCCCCCCCCCTCCCCAGGAAGACTTCTGGTACTCATTTCTAGAGGCTGAGTCGACCCCAGGGACATAGTTCGACTGGAAGGAGATTAGGTCAACTGAAAAAGAAAATTGCACCTCATCGTAACTCGAACCCGCAGCATTCCGGCTTGTAGCATAGTGCCTCAACCAACTACGCTACCGCGTGCCCCTTACTACACATAAAACGTTTCTTTTTGCATTCCTGCTGCTGGCGCCCACACAGTGAATGGAATCACTGATTTGTTATCGCGCCTGTTGAACTAAAACACGTATACATTTTCTGTATTTATGACGCTCATTCTAATTATGTTTAATGTCTCCCTAATGTTATGTGTTTACCTACGCAATCCTGGAACATGATGCCATGCACTTTCTGCAAAGCAAATGGCGGTGTTATTCGAGTCACTGTTGCACGCTAAGCATTCCTACTGAAGATGATGCAATTTTTAGTATTGTGCAGCAAAGCCCTCCTCTCCATCACATATTTGTGTATCCTGTATGCATGGATAGACCACTGTAGGTGGTCGCGGTGCAAGGGTGAGAAGGCCTACCCCTCCATCCATTCATTCATCCTCGCCCCCATTCGTGCTACATGCCCTGCCCACCTCATCCATCTTGACTTGATCATTCTAATTATACTTGAAGAACTTACAAGTTATGAAGCTCCTTATTATGCAGTTTTCTCCAACCTCCTGTCACTTCGTCTCTCTTCGGTCCAAATATTCTCTTCAAGACCCTGTTCTTAAACACCTTCAGTCTATGTTCCTCCCTTAATGTCAGAGACAAAGTTTCACATCCATACAGAACCACAGGCAAAATTATAGTTTCATATATTTTAATTTAATGTTTTTAGACAGCAGATGAGAAGACAAAAGGCTCTGGACTGAATGGTAGCAAGATTTACACAAGTTTAATCTCCTCTTAATTAGGTTTTGATTTGTTATATTGTTCCCAAATATCTGAACTGCAAATTTTGAAAACGTCTGTTATCTATCTTTATATCCTGATATTGCCATGCATTTTGGTGACGAGATACCAACATATACTTAGTTTTCTCTGTGTTTACTTCTAGACCAATTTCCTTACTAGTGTTAATTAATGTCCATGCATCTTTCTTTATGGTATCTATATTATCACTCAATAGATTCACATCAGTATAGATCAACAGCTGATGTGTCCCATTTAATTTCAGTCCCACCTGGTACTAGTAAAGACAACACCACACGCTGTGGAGGAAACACGCAAAGCAGGGGCATATGGCAGTCACAACTGAAAAGTAGGCTACAAACGTGGGGGGCAAGCTGCAGCGACAAAACACCCTGGACAGACATACATTTATGAAAATGGACGACACCCTGTGTGAGTTGAAATAATATGCACAAAATTAACGTGGATATAATAGAAACTTTAAAGGATTTTATCTGGCTTTACCTTGGAAAAGAGGACTACAGCGTGTGATTTTAACATGGACTTATAAGACAGTGTAGCAGTTTTAACATAATTTAATAAAATATTTGTAACATATCAAGACACCTAAAGATGGACGTTTGGGGCCGAAACATCTGGTGTCAAAGTGTATAATGTTAAACTAAAATTAAAACTAAATAGTGAATAAAAAAGTGTTGAAATAGTGATGGATGATACATAATGGACGTTACAATGTTCATGCTATGACTTACATGACTGACCTACCAAGATGGTTCTTAAATTTCTTATCTGCAATTGATCAGATAGCATACATAAGGCATTTACTTACTTACTCATGGAGCTGAGCCCTTCTGGAGGAGCCGCCAATTCTGCAGCTACTCAAAAATTTCCCAGCATTTTATGGAACCCGAAGTTTCATCACCGTGTTCACAAGAGACCTCCACTGGTCCTTATCCTGTGCCAGATCCATCCAATCCATCCAATCCATCCCATCCTATCTCTCCAACATCCATTTTAATATTGTCCACCCACCTACGCCTGGTCTTCCCTGTGGTCTTTTTCCTTCTGGCTTTCCCTCCAATATCCTATACGCATTCGTCTCCCCCATTCGTGCTACATGACCTGCCCACCTCATCCTCCTTGACTTGATCATTCTAATTATACTTGGAGAAGAGTACAAGTTATGAAGCTCCTCATTATGCAGTTTTCTCCAACCTCCTGTCACTTCATCTCTCTTCGGTCCAAATATTCTCAACACCCTCAGCCTATGTTCCTCCCTTAATGTCAGAGACCAAGTTTCACACCCATACAGAACCACAGGGAAATTATAGTTTTGTATATTCTAATTTTTATGTTTTTGGATGACAAGAACACAAAAGGTTCTGGACTGAATGGTAGCAAGCATTACCCGAGTTCAATCACCTCTTAATTTCCTCCTAAATCACGTTTCGATCTGTTACTGTTGTTCCCAAATATCTGAACTGTGCCACATTTTCAAAACATCTGTTTCCTATCTTTATGTCATGATTTTGCCCTGCATTTTGGTGACGAGACAGTAACATATACTTAGGCATTACTTCCATAAAATACTTCACTGATTGTAGCATACTGTTGATCAAGAACTAGTATATTTTTTAACATTCTAACCACTGCTGTAGCCTATAATTACAATCTTTGGTCTACCTGCAGGAAATAAAACATCTTCCTGTCAGTGTAGTG